AGCCCAGGCTGGCCTCGAACTCACAGAGATCCGCCTGGCTCTGCCTCCCGAGTGCTGGGATTAAAGGCGTGCGCCACCACCGCCCGGCATGGTGCACACTTTTAATCCCAGCACTCAGAGGCAGAGGCAGGCGGATTTCTGAGTTTGAACCAGCCTGGTCTATAGAGCTAGTTCCAGGACAGCCAATGCTACACACAGAAACCCTATCTGGAAACCCCTGCCCCCACAAAAAAAAAAAAAAAAAGAAAGAAAGCAAGAAACTGCCCAGAAGTGATAGTGTATTTTAAAAGTTCTGAACATGAGATGCAAGTGTATTAAATTTAGAATAATAGAAAATATGGTATCTGGGGCATTAGGTCAGTTTCTGTCACTACTGTATTGTAGCATAATTAAATATAACAGGCATACAGTTTATAGAAAAGTTTGTGAAGAAAAAGCCATGACTTAGGAAAAGATGAGCAGTCACAGAAGAACTCTGGTTTGTGGAAGGCACATTCCAAAGTTAGAAACTCATGTGTTGAAGTGATATACTCTAAGAAATGCTCCCCATAGTCAACATCAAGTATGCCAACAGGTAAGGCTTGAAAGGGGGACTGAGAGGTGGAACACAGTGAAACACAACAGCGATGTGTTGTGCTAAGTCCAAGATTTAAAAAAAATTATCTGAAGGGAGGCTGGCTGTAGACATGGGTGTTCTTGTCATTAGCAAGCCTCTGTGGCAGTGGAGAACCAATCCCCACTGTGAAGCCTCTGAAAACACATTAAGACATTTGTCTTTAAAGATTTTGTTTTTTTTATTTTTAATTATTTGTATGCAGGTGTGTCTGTGGGGTCATGTGTGCCTCCACGCAATACCTGTTGGGGCCAGAAGAGGGCACTCTATTTCCCTTGAATTGGAGTTACAGACTGTTGTGAACTCTCCAATGTGAGTGCTAAGAACTGAACTCAGGTCCTCTGGAAGAGTTGTAGCTATTGCAACACTGGAAATTTACACCATCTCCAGGTTTTATTTAAATAATTTCCATTATTGAAGTGATTATTCCACATGTGTGGATGGTACCTGGGCACAGCTCAGTTCTAATGGTATTCATTCAGTAAATGCTACTCCATAGTGAGTAACCCAGGCTCTCCCAGCCCTAGTAACATATATTTCACTGGCATCACTCGAGTTCTCAGTTCTGGCTGCCCTGAGATGAACTGACACTCTCTGATCTCAGATATGAAGTTGATACTCCTCAACCTCCAGGTACAAGCAGGTCTGATGATCATTTAGTTCTAATCAGCAGAGCAGCTGCCTTCACCTTTTAGTTTTATTATTTTACTTTTTGTTTGTTTTGTGACAGTCTCACTTTGTAGCTGGAGCTGGTCTGGAGTGTGCTCTCTAGCCCAGGCTGGCCTCCAACTTGCAGTAGTTCTGCTCTATTCTTGAACTCCCAGTTGCAAAGCTTACAGGCATGAGCCACAATGCCTTCCTTTTGCATATTATTTTAAATGGTTCTCGGGAGCTGGCAAGATGGCTCAGTGGGTAAAGGCACTTGCTGCCAAATCTGAGGCCATGAATTCAGTCCCCAGGGACTCAAATGGTGTAAGGAGAGAAACCACTCCTGCAAGTTGTCCTCTGTCCTCTACACATGTCATGGCACACAAAGTAAATATCATTTTAAATGTTTAAGTAGCTTTTCAGCCTAAACATAAGGACCATCTTTTCAGACTTACTGAACAACCTACTCTCTAAATATTAGCTTCCTAGGCCACATATTATAGCTGATACAGTCAGGTTTGAAAAATCCGCATCTCAACCAGTTGGTAACTCACCAACATATTAGGAATTGGGAACTAGAGAAGTCACTGTTACTATAGGTGAGACATTGGACTTGGAAGAGGAAGAATTAAGTCACTGGCCTGGAGCTACGAGGGAAGGGAAGGCATTTACTCACCTCTGTGTGGGTAGAGCAGAGGCAGAGCAAGATGAACAGGCAAAGTTGGGTGGAGGTGGGACAGAAGAGCGTGACTGCAAAGCTGTTTGTGCTCCTCCTGTGTTCTCAGAGGAGTGGGGTGCTGTGTGATGAATGCCACAGATTGATGTGTAGGCTCCTGTGCTGAGACATGCACTTCTGATCAGTCGTCCCCCCCCTTCCCATTTGGATTCTCTCTCTGAGAAAGACCGCTTTTGATAAAGGAGATTGAACTTCAGATCCCTTCTGAAGGCCTCCTTCTGCTGCTGCTGCTTCTTCTTCTTCTTCTTCTTCTTCTTCTTCTTCTTCTTCTTCTTCTTCTTCTTCTTCTTCTTCTTCTTCTTCTTCTTCTTCTTCTTCAAGGGAGGGTCTTAGTACATAACCTTGGCTGGTCTAGAACTCAGTATGTAGATCAGGTGGCCTCAAACTCTGCCTGCCTCCTCCTCCTCCTCCCAGGTGCTGGGATCAGAGGTGTTAACCACCACATTCAGACTGGTCTTTTTTGAAGGGAACTGAAATTAATGTTTTGTTTGTAGAGGCAGAATGTGAGGCTAGGTTTGGTTTTCTGTCCTAGCAAAGCCCCATCCTCTGCCTAGAGAAACAGTTGTCATTGTAGTGATGGGTCATGTCTAGACCACCAGGCCACTCAGAAAGGATTGGCTAGCCCAGTTCTGAGGAGTCAGTGTCAGCAAAGGCTTGGCACACGGGGGCCAACCCTTGAAAGCTGTAGGAATTGACCAGGAGTGGAGAGGGCATGCTCTAGCGAATGGGAGAGCAGTACAGTCACACTTTTAGGAGAGATCATGGTATGATGGGTTGTAAGGAGCTAGGGCCAGCAGGAAAGCTGAGGCATGAAAGGGTATAGGTAGGGGCCAGGTCCTGTTGTATTCAGACCATGCTTATAGGATTGGATTTTATCTAAAGGCAATATGGCAAGCGAGATGCTCAGCACATAAAGGCACATGAACACCTGAGTTCAAGTCTCAGGACCCACATGAAAAGAGAGAACTAACTCCCATAAATTGTCTTCTGACCATCACAAGTCCACCATTGTACGTACAAGTAAATAAATATAATTTTAAAAACCAAGGCTGGTGAGATGGCTTAGGAAGCAAAGGTGCCTGCTATCAAGCCTGATGACCTGATTTTGATCCCCAGGACCCACATGAAGAGATCCAACTCCCACAAGTTGTCCTCTGATCTCCACATGCATGTCATGACATGCCACCTCACCCCCAGGTGATGGATGGATATATATACTTTTTTGTTGATGAAAGCAAACGGATTTTGGTATTGAGACAGCATCTCATTATGTATCCAGGCTGGCCTCATACTCACTGTCTAGCTCCAACTGGCCTCAAATACATGAAATTCCTGCCCCAGCATTCCTGAGTGCCGGGATTACAGAGATACACCACCACATCCAGTCCTGACAGCATTTTAAGATGTACTTCACATGGAACACAGCAGCGGTGTGGAGGTCCGTTGCAGAGGGCACAGCTGGAGTCGAAGAGTCAGGGGACCATACTGGTCCTGAGTTAGAAGTGCAAACAAGAAAAGGACAAACGAGAAAAAGTTAAGCAATACAGGCAAGTGACCTTGGGGCCTCTGGAGGCCTGGCAGAGGAGGACGTCCTGACAGCAGTGGATATTGCCCTTCTCTAAGTCTGGAAGATGGGGAAGCTCCACATGGTGGGTTGGTGATGAGTTTATTTGGGGAATACAGACTTTGAGCTATGCCTGGTAGGTCCAGAAGGTTCTCTCTGCCTAGAACTCAGAACAGATGTGCGAGATATAGGTGTAAATGGAAATAGATAGGGTCTTAGTGTTGTGGGACTAGGTTGATTCCACCTCCTTGATATCACCCAGTCAAGCCACAATTAACTCTTCTGCCGACTTCCACTTCAGCCCATTCTTACACAGCTTGTGGAGTGGCCTTTAAAGGGTGAGAAGGAGGAGTCAGAGAGAACACTGTATTGCTGTTACCTGGGTTCAATTCCCGACACCCCCATGGCAACTCACAATCATCTAGAACTCCAGTTCCAGGAGATCTGACACCTTCTTCTGATCTGTGTGAGCACCAGGCACCCAGGTGGTATACAGACACACATGCATGCAAGCCAAGACACGCATACACATAGAAAAAAATAAATAGAAAGCTGGGAAGGAATCTTGTTGGTTCCCTGCTGAAACCCATTGCTTCTGACTGAGTGGTCAAACCTGTGAGCCCTGTGTAGCCTGCACTTCACCTGTCTGCCTGGCCATCCCCATGCTGGACCATTCTTCTCCCTCACTCCAGGTGCTGCATCCCTGCTGGCTGCTTCTGGGACTGCAGCCTTCCCTTCCTTGCCGTTCCCGGACCTTGGTTCACACTGCTCCCGTGTGTGGGTTATCCTTCACCCACCCTCTGCCTGGTTGACTGCTCATCTTTTGGGGCTTCTTTAAACGACATTTTCTTCAAAGGAGTCCTTTCCAACCTCCTGAGCTGCATCCGAGGCATTCTGCATTTTCCCCTCTCAGCACAGCATGATTTATCAGTAGCTTCCTGTGTGTTTCCTTAGTGCCTGTCACCCTGTCCTCTGAGGATAAAATGCATCCAGTGTTGTATTACTGGCATACCCCAGTGCTTGACAGTCCCAAGCACAAGTTAGCCCTCCATGAGCATTTGTTAGCTTGTAATGGTCTTTCCTTGACTTAGAGTTTCTACAGTCACAACCCGGCTTTATGGTCATGTTACCCGGTTTCACCCACTTTTGAAGGGTCTACTGTCAACAGTTACTAAGTACCCTGTCTCTAGGAGGTTGGTTCATCAAACTGCAGCCTGAATCCTAAAGCCATGGCTCCTCCCTGTTGCCTGTGCTCACTGTGGTAGCTGGTTAGCTACCCATCCCATCACCAAGCTGACAGTGAGTCATATGGCTGCCAAGTTTTGAAGCTGGAAAAACTGGCCCTTGCTCCCATGAGATGGGCACTCTCGGCAGAGGTTGGTGGTTGCCTCCTTCATCCAGATTTGGGAAGCATCCAACACATGCCATTTGCATTGCAGCTGTGGGCAAATCCACCTTTGTGAAGCTACTCACGAATACTCACCCAGAGTGGCAAGTGGCCACAGAACCTGTAGCAGCATGGCAGAAAATCCAAGCTGCTGGCACCCAAAAAGTAAGTTTTCAGCTGTGGGGGGTAGTTGGCAGCCACGGACAAGCAGTCCAGTTGGAATAATTTAATTTGCTCTAAGGAGATGAAGTAGCCCAGCTTGTCTGTTAAAATAGCTTCATTCCAGAAAGCAGGCCGCAGAGGATATGACTTGTTTGAATATGTTTAGTTTTGATTTGTGTGGCTTGTGTATGTCTGTGTAAGCACCCGCCTCCTGTCTTTGTGGTTTCCCAAGCATGCCCAACCATCCAGGCTCTGAAGATGAATGTTGTCATTCCTACCCTTGAGTATTTGTATTGTTGTTATTGAGGGTGGCTGGCAGGATTAATAGTCAATGAGAATGTCTTAGACTTGGGAAAGGACCTTACTGAGCAGCTGGTCACTCTTTGAGTCAATGAGGAGACAACAGCTCACATTTTTAAGGCACTGGTCTTAAAAGTGTCTGCCAGGTCTCTTTCAGCCTGGTCTGACCCCACATTTCACTCATACCTCACGACTCAACCCTAACGTCAGGTCTGCTGCTTCTGCCAAGGCTATAGGTTTGCTTTCAAGCCCTGCCCCATCAGTGTGAGTGGGGAGGGTCAGTCTGGACAGAGCTCAAAAGAGCTGAAGGAGTAGCAAAGCATGCTGCTGGCCTTGTGAACTCCTGCAGGCACTGGGAATGTGTTGAGTGACTCCGTCTTGTCTTAGCCGCTAATTATTGGTCAGTTCTTCATATGTTCAACCACGTTGAACCCATATGACTTGAGCTCCTTGGTTCAGGTTCTTCTGCCCAGTGTACAGTTGAGGCTCAGAGGGCCTTCTCCTTCTCAGACCTAATCTCTTGAGAACACCTCCAGGTTTCCTCCGGGCTGTTTTCCATCTTGAAGCCACTTTGTGTGAGTGATGCAGCATGCAGTGTATTTCTTTTCCACTCAGTTTACCAAGAGTGATTGCTCAGAGCCCAACAGGCACTCACCAGTGCTCTGTATGCTAGGAAACCATAGAGTGAGATCTGGGCGCCAGGCTTTGTTATTCCAGTTCAGAGCAATGCTGCCTGTGTGGCTGGCATGCTATGTTTTTCCAGTCATCTGTTTATGTTTGTATGTATACAGATGTGTATTTGTAAAACTTTCCATTAGAAACAGATTATATCTTTTTCTGAGTATGCCAGAAGCAAGTAGTAACATTTTAAAATACACTCACAGAATCTTTGCTACTCCGCCATTGAAGTCAAGGAGCTGAGTTCTCCACTCCTTGGTGCTTTTAAGCACTGATCCAGCTTTCCAGTCCTGTATTTTCTTTTTGAGACAGTCTTTTGTAGCCTAGGCTACCTTGAACTCTTGGTCTCCCTGCTTTCACTTGCCAAGCACCAGGAGTATGACGCAGACCATTACACCCTGCACCACACCTGCTTTTTTATGTGGGTTCTGGGAATCAAACTCAGGTCCTCACCCTTAGAAAGCAAACATGTTATCAACTGAGCCATTTCCCCAGTCTTTCTTTTCTTTTTCTTTCTTTTTTTGGGGGAGTGGGAGGGGGGTTAGTGAAGATAGTTTAATATAGATTTGAGCTCAAGGGTTAAGAGAAAAAGAGATGCCCAAGAGAAGGTAAGATACATGAGAGCATGGGTGTGGGCTTCTTCTCGAGCCTTTCTCCTTCTCTTCCTTTTCCTTTTTCTCTCTTTTTTTTTTCTAGGGCTGAGGATTAAACCCAGACCCTTCCACACTCTAGGCAAGCACTCTGCATTCTCAGTGATAACTGCTTTTTTATTTTTGCTTAGTGGGCTGCCTGTTTGTCCCTTGATTTTTTTTCTAGTGCTCTCTTGTGTGCTTGTGTTCTCTCTCTCTCTCTCTCTCTCTCTCTCTCTCTCTCTCTCTCTCTCTCTCTCTCTCCCTCTCCCCCTCCCTCCCTCCCACTCTCCCTCCCTCCCTCCTTCCACCACCACCATCCCCATGTGTGTGCACATCAGTGAAGACATTTTCCCTTGTTTTTGAGATAGGCTCTGTTCATCCACTGGCTCTGGCATTGCCTGTACTCACCCGTCTCTGCCTGCCATGTTGCCTTAGGAACACTGGGTTTATAGACAGACATTACCATGCTTCTGTGCCTGGCTTGATGTGGGTTCTGGGGATTCAGACTTAGTTCTCATGCTTGTGGGCCAAGCCCCAAGATCTTCATCTTTTTCCTGGTGTCTTTGTGAGCTCATTGTAGATAAATATAAATATGTTAACTGGGATAAACAGCTGATATATTTTTCTGCTAATACGTTTTTCTTTTAGTTTTATATACAGTATTTATTTATTTTTATTTCACATGCATTGGTGTTTTGCCAGTGTCTGTGAGGGTGTCAGATCTCCTGGAAGTGGAGTTTACAGACAGTTGTGAGCCACTATGTGGGTGCTGGGAATTGAACTCTGGTCTTCTAGAAAAGCAGCCAGTGTTCTTAACCACTGAGCCATCTCTCCAGCCAGACTATATATGGTATTTTATGATACTGTCTAGTGGGGAGATTTTTGCTTCTTTTTTTTTCAATTTTTTTTGCACAGTGAAAGCATTTTTATTTATGAAAATCATAAACATTACACACAACTCAGAATCTCTGTATGGCAGAGCAAAGAACTAAAGCTATGTTTAGCTGCTCTCCTCTCTCCCTTACAGCTAGTAAGGTTTAAGTCTGACAGACATGGCAGCTTGTACAGCAGCGACTCTGCTTCTTTTTCTTTTCAAGTGTGGGGAAAGGAAAGGTGGCCGTGGACCACGGCACATCTGTGGGGGGAGAACAACCTAACCTGCTTTGGAGGTTATCTCACCAGCCCTCTGCTTAGTTGTTGTTGTTGTTGTTGTTGTTGTTGTTATTGTTTTATTTTGGTTAGGTTTGGATTTTGGTTTTTGGTTTTTCAAGATAGGATTTCTTCATGTAGTCCTGGCTGTCATGGAACTTACTCTGTAGATCAGGCTGGCCTCAAACTCAGAGATCCACCTGCCTCTGCCTCCTGAGTGCTGGGATTAAAGGTGTGCATGACCACCCATCCGGTTTAGTTTTTTGTTTGGGGTGGTGGTTGTTGTTTGTTTGTTTGGGATTTGGGGGGTGGGGGTTGAGACAGGGTTTCTCTGTGCAGCCCTGGCTGTCCTGCAACTCACTTTGTAGACCAGGCTGGCCTTGAACTCACAGAGATTTGCCTGCCTCTGCCTTTGGAATGCTGGGATTAAAGGTGTGCACCATCACCGCTGGGACTGGTTTAGTTTTTCTGTAGTCAAATTGGTCCATCTTTTCTTCACCAATTGTTGCCTTGGGTGTTAAAGGCTGCCGTCTGCCTCCCTCCCCCACCTCTCTCTCTCTCATGTGTGTGATATACATATGTGAGTGTGCACAGGCATGTGTGGCCAGAGCAGGATATTGAGTGGTTTCCTCTGTCACCCTCTGCTATATTGCCTTGGTACAGTGTCTCGTTAAACCTGAAGCTAGACTTTGCATCTGGGCTGTCTAGCCAGGATTTGAGTGTCTGTCTCTAACCCCAAAAGCTCTGCTCCACCCCCCACCCCCACCCCCGACAGGGTTTCTCTGTGTAGCTTTGTGCCTTTCCTGGAAACTCGTTTTGTAGCCCAGGCTGGCCTCGAACTCACAGAGATCTGCCTGCCTCTGCCTCCCGAGTGCTGGGATTAAAGGCGTGCGCCACCACCGCCCGGCCAAAAGCTCTGCTTTTTACATTGATACTGGGATTCTAGACACAAGTCCTCATGCTTTCAGAGCAAGCACTCTTGTCCACGGAACCGTCTCCCCAGCCCTTAAAGTTTTAGGTTTAGTTAGTGAAGGGGAAGAGTGCCATGGTACCTTTGGAGATCAGAGGACAACCTTCAGGAGTCAGTTCTCTTTCAATATATATTGGTCCTTGGGATTGAATTTAGGTTGTCTGTCTTAGCAGCAGATTCATTTACCCCCTGAGCCATCTTGGAAGATCTGTTTTTTGTTTTTGTTTTTTATGACTCCAATAGCTCAAGATTTTAAAAACGGCCTCCTGTATTTCTTTATGCTGTATGTGGCTTTAAAAGTTGTAAGACTTGCCAGGTGGTGGTGGTACACATCTTTAATCCCAGCACTCAGGAGGTAAGGCAGGTGGGTCTTTGTGAGTCAGAGGCCAGCCTGGTCTACAGAGTGAGTTCCAGGATAGCCAGGGCAACACAGAGAAACCCTGTCTCCAAAAACAAAGCAAAACAAAAGTTGTAAGAATCTTTGTGTGTGTGTGTGTGTGTGTGTGTGTGTGTGCGCGCGCGCGTGCGCGCGTGCACTTGGACAGGGAGGACATCAGGTGTCCTGTCCTTTGACTTTCCACCTTATTCTCTTGAGGTAGAACTTGTCACTGAACCCTCATAGTGCTGGGATTACTAGCTTGCATACAGCCATGCCCAGCTTTTTACCTGGGAGTTGAGGGTCTGAACTCAGGCTCTCATGTTTGTTCATCACTAATCTGTCTCCTCAGCCTGCTTTTTTTTTTTTAGATTTACTTATTTATTATGTATACAGCGTGTATGACCAGAAGAGGGCACCAGATCTCATTATAGATGGTTGTGAGCCACCATATGGTTGCTGGGAATTGAACTCAGGACCTCTAGAAGAGCAGTCAGTGCTCTTAACCTCTGAGCCACCTCTCCAGCCCCTTTATTATTATTTTAAATTATGTGTATATGAGGGGAGTATGTACAGGTACACTCATACAAACATAGACATATACATACACAATTTTAAAATATATATTTATATATACTATAAAAGATACAAAATTGTAGAATATATATATATACACGTATGTACACACACACACACACACACACACACACACACACACACACACACACATACACATATGTATATCCTGCAGCTGAAAAGGAACAAGTCAGTCTCTGTGCTGAGAAAGCTATTGTCCAAAATAGGAAACAAAAACGAATGTCTCAACAAGAGTCGAGAGATTGCCTCACTGATAAAATGAGAACAGGCTGTCAAAAACAAAAAGGTCAGAGGACAACCTTGGGTGTAGGTCCTCACCTCCATCGCAGTGGAGACAGTCTTGAGTTTGCAGTGTGTGCCAGGATGCTGGCCCGAGGACCCTCCTGTCTCTGCCCTGAGATGATGTGCCTGCTACGGCGCCCAGATTTCTGTGGACTCTGGGGTTTGAGCTGAGCTCTGTTGTACACTTGCATGACAGTCACTCTCCTCGCCGAGCCGTCTCCCCAGCCCTTGTATTTTATACCGACTGTCTCTGTTGACACAGTGGAGCAATGTTTGCATTTTCTGTGAAGATTCTGCTTTCATTTACTTCCAAACTTAGTGATACTCTTTGCCAGAAACTTCTTTCCGTTCTTTACAGCGTAAATGACTGGACATTTGTCACATGCTTGGCCTTCTAGTCAGCTCTCTATATCTTAGTCATCCACATTGTGAATCCTTGAGTCCAGTTACTGCATCTTGTTCATCTTTATAGGAGAGGTGTTAGAATCAAGAACCTAGAGAGCCCAGTTTGAGCCCCATTCCCTATTATTATTCCCCCATGGGACCTTACACAAGTAAGTTACTTAGCCTCTTAGTGGATTTCCCCTTTGTAAAATGGTTCTAACATTGCTTACCTTGGGAAGCTGTTTGGAAGATGAATTAACCATCCAGTGAACTCTGAAGTAAGTATTACTTCCTTTTTCTCCACTCCTTACAGCACCCAGCCCATGTAGTATACCTTAGCCATACAAGCCTTCAGTAGCAATGATTGAATGAATGAATGAATGAATGAATGATGAAGGAAAGAAGGAAGGAAGATACAAGATGCTTTGCTTAAAATTTATTTTTATTGCCTGGCAGTGGTGGCGCACACCTTTAATCCCAACACTGGGGAGGCAGAGCCAGGAGGAGCTCTGTGAGTTTGAGGCCAGCCTGGTCTACAGAGCGAGTTCCAGGAAAGGCTCCAAAGCTACACAGAGAAACCCTGTCTCGAAAAACAAGCAAACAAACAAACAAAAATTTACTTTTGCATTGAATCAGTAACTGAGCCTAGAAATTATACCTGGGCTCCTGAGTGTCCACTACTTGTTCCCACCTGAACATTCAGAATGGTATTTCAAATTGCATTTCATCATTCCTAGAATAAAGAAGGAACTAGACTTTGTTCGAACAAAGTATGATCCTTCTATGAAAGACACAGAAGTTTGTTTAATTCATTGGTTATTTAGATTCTCTTATTTAGGTTTTCTTTCTTATCTGCCTTGAAGTTTGAAAAATAATAGCAAATGGAATCTGAAAGTCAACATGGTATTAAAGTAGAAGGATTTGATTCAAAGGAGAAGTTGTAGGTGACAGTCAGTTAACGCACCCCAAATAGACTCCCTAAGTCCAGTCTTCGGTGTGTATGTGAATTGTCTGTGAGTTTTACTTTGGTCGCTGTTCCAGTAGATGTGTTGTATCATCTCTCTCTGTCAGATTCTTACCACACAAGGTTGAACAGTCTTCCCTGCTTACATAGTTTAAATTAAGCTGGAAAAGCATATCTTTTTCCTGTTTTCAGTGGAAGGACACAGCTGTGGTTATTTTTGACATTAAGTATTGAATCTTCTTGAGGAAGGACAGATGGTGGGGTGTGTCCTATAAAATAATACACCTTCTAGGAAATTGTCCTCTTCTGCATTCTCCCATAGGACGACACTTCCAAAGGTCATGGAAACTTGCTAGAAATGATGTACCGAGAGCCAGAGAGATGGTCCTATACATTCCAGACGGTTTCCTTCATGAGCCGTCTGAAAGTGCAGCTGGAGCCCCTTCCAGGGAGACTCCTACAGGCAGAGAAGTCCGTGCAGATCTTCGAGAGGTCTGTGTACAGTGACAGGTAAGACACCAAACACTGCCAACCCCTAAGGGGTAAACGGGGAAGTACTCTTAGTAAAGTCTAGCAGCCAGCTTGGGAAGTGAGTCCGTCTGTTCTGGGAAAGCATGCTCTTCAGGCTTCAGGCTCCAGAGACCAGGCCATGGGCTCAGGGTGCCAACAGACAAAGGCATAGGGTGCCTTGATCTGGTCATTGTGCAGAGTTTGAATTTGAATGACTTTGGTGGGAGAAATGATCTGTCTTGAGCCCCATGACTCAAGATGGAACATTCTGTATCTTTGCCCGCCTCCATCACTGGAGACACTTGGTTACCCATTTAATTCCAAGTTAAGTAAGCTAGTTGCAGCTCTTACTGGAAAGCCTCCTGAAATTAAAAAATGAGAGTTTGTAGGCTAGAAAGATGGCTCAACAGTTAAGAAAACTTCCTGTTTTTCCAGAGGACCCAGGTTCTATTCCCAGCACCTGTGTGGCTGCTCACAACCATCAATAACTCTAGTTCCAGGGGATCTAACACCCTCTTCTGATCTCTGATGGCACCAGGCATACACATGATGCATATATAGACATGCAGGCAAAATACCATACACATAAAATAAAGCAATAATTTAATTTTTTTTTTTTTTTTTTTTTTTTTTTTTTTTTTTTGGTTTTTCGAGACAGGGTTTCTCTGTGTAGCATTGCGCCTTTCCTGGAACTGACTTGGTAGTCCAGGCTGGCCTCAAACTCACAGAGATCCGCCTGGCTCTGCCTCCCGAGTGCTGGGATTAAAGGCGTGCGCCACCACCGCCCGGCTTAATTTTTTTTTAAATGAGAGTTCAAGGCCAGCAATATTGGCATACGTCCCTTTTATCTCAGCAGTTGGGAGGCAGAGGCAGGTTGATCTCTGTGACTTTGAGGCCAGCCTGGTCTACATAGTGAATTCTAAGTCAGACAGGGCTACATAGTGAGACCCTGTCTCCAAAAAAAGGAGGGGAGAGTTCATTTGTAAATCACATGACCATTCTGACTGCACTTGAGGATCACACTAGCTATGTGGAAGAAACAGTGCTGTGCCATCCTTCGTCCCAGGGTCTGAGAGGAGTCTGCTCTTTAGAAAGCTAACTGTTCATGGTAGAGCTAGTTGGCTCCAGGTTCTAGTTCATTTCTGCTGCACATGTACCTGGCTTCTCTCCTCTCTGGAGCTGTACCTCCCAGGCTAGGAAGCTTACCCACATGAACTACCTAGGCTGTTGGAGGCATTCAGACTTGCTGTTTTGAGTTCTAGCCTCTTAGTGTGGAGGGCTTATGAGAATCCCCTCAGAGGGAAACAGACATATTTTGTTAATTACAGGTGCTTTGCTGTTTGTTTAAAAAGAGTCCCAGCTGTAGCCCTAGGTGGCCTAGAACTCAGTGTCGCTCGGTTGACCTCATACTCACAGGTGATCCTCCCGCCTTTGCCTTCTGAGTATGGGGATTACTGGTGCATGCCACCAGATGCCGGTAGAAATGAATTGTTAAGAACTATCTGGGTCTTGACATTTCCTCGTAAAGGAGTAGGCAGTTGGTTATACTGTGTGCCGTTACATCATAGAAGCTGCTTTCATTGAAGGGGGATATTTTCAGGTAGAAAGGATAACCTGTTATAAATCTAATCTCAAGAGTATTTAGACTTCCATTCCTTTAAAAATGTATTTCAGGAACTGAGAGTATGACTCAGTGGTCCTTTTCGTGCCCAAGGTATGAGTTCAAGCCCCAGTGCCAAAGGGGAAAAACTCATTCCTTTATTAGTTTGATCAGTATAGGTTTATTGACTATCTCCTGCACCAGGCTTTGCCCTAGGGCCACACCAGAGTCCTTAGTCCCTGTTCCAGTGAGGACACTCCTTCCCAAGGACTGCATACATGTTCACGAGTGTGGTCTGTGTGTGTGGTGTCCAGAGGACAGTATTGCAGGGAGGAAGAAATGGAAGTGTTTTCTGGTTGAATTAATGAAAGCACCAGTGTGGCTTTGGAGTAGAGCTCAGGATTGCTGAGTCCTTCAGCCCTCTTCTACCTGCAGCTCCCCATACCTCTCTGTGTTTAGCCCCCACTCCCCTTCTGCCCATTATCACCAGTTATGGAGAACAGGAAGTGCCCACCCCAGGAGAGGTATAGGCCCCTGTTTTAGGTTTGGTCATCTTTATTTGCAAGATATAACTTTTGTCTTTTAGCTGTCCTTGGAGAAGCTGGCAGCATTTTTCAAAACTTGAGTTATAAAAGTCACCTTCTTGTTGCCTTCAGAGAGCTGTAGCCGAAACAGTCTAGTCTGGGCAAGTTCACTTTTGGAGTTTTCAAATTAGCTTCTTCGTGGCCTAGGAAGAGCAGTTATAATGACTTAGGATTGTTGGTTACTGAGTGATCGCCACCCTTCTGAGCACTTCACAGTTGTGATATGTAGTCATTCCCTCCCGTGGGCTGAGAGTCAGGTAGCTTTCCAAGGCAACATGGCTTATGGAAGCTGCAACTGGATCAGACCCTGCAGTCACTTTGAAAGCCACTCTCCTAAAGGTGACACAGCTTTGCAGTTTGCACTTCCTTGAGCCAGTCACAAGGGTTTTGAATTTCATTTCCCCAGAAGTGGCCAGTTGCTGAGGTTGCCTTAGAAACTGGAGTTCATTGTTGTGGATGTAAATTGTGTTTTGTATCAGGCTTTAAAAGGCGAATTGACCCTTTGGAAGCCATGATTTCTACAGCTCTGATTTCTCAATTTGCCAGATCCTCCTTCTGTTGTGTAGTAAGCAAAGAGAGAAGTTAGTTTGATATCTCAGCTTTAGCCATATTTGATCTGATGGGAAGCTCAGCAGAGGAAGCTAGGCTCCTGTATGCTCTGTGTGCTCTTGGTATTGCCAAAGTCAGCTCCAGAACTGATACCACAGGCCGGTGTCCCCCTGCTTCTCAGCTACAAAGCATGATGGCTCAGCAGCTAGAGACTCAGACACCCTCTTTCTGTTTGTTTGTTTTGTTTTTCGAGACAGGGTTCTCTGTGTAGCTAGGCGCCTTTCCTGGAACTCGCTTTGGAGACCAGGCTGGCCTCGAACTCACAGAGATCTGCCTGCCTCTGACACCCTCATTCTGAAATGCAGTGTGGAAGGGTGGCTTACCCTGCATTCCCTTGGGTTTTGTCTGGAGTCTGGCTATAGTAATGAAGAAATCTGCAAGGTTCAGGTTTCCATGTCCATGTTGTGTGTCTTGACTGGATCCCTTTCTGGAGGCCCTTTCCTTGCCATGGCCTGCTCCATCTGTGAGCTGTAGTGTGGGCCTATGTCAGGTCAGTCAGCGCCCTTGTCATTACAGTGCTGAGCAGGATGGATGCTGTAGACTGAGGACTCAGATCTCCAGGGCTGAGCAGGATGGATGCTGTAGACTGAGGACTCAGATCTCCAGTGCTGAGCAGGATGGATGCTGTAGACTGAGGACTCAGATTTCCAGGGCTGGAGAGATGGCTTAGCAGTTAAGAGCATTTGCTTCTCTTATAGAGGAGCCAATTTTCATTCCCAGCACCCACATCAACTGGCTCACAACTGCCTGTGAGTCTAACACAGAGAATCCACTGCCCTCTTCTGGCCTCCACACGCACCCACATGCATGTACACAAACCCACACGCAGATACACACACACACATAAATAATAAAATGTTTTTTTTTTTTCAAAATAATTCATATTTCCTAAGGGCTGATGGGAGCTAGACTGGTTAAGTGATTTGGATAAGCATGAACAAACCAGTTATTGATTTTTCTACTTTTCTCCCTCTCTGTCTTTCATCCCACTTCCCATTCTCCTTCACCCCAACCTCCCACTCAACATTTCCAACCAGGTATATCTTTGCAAAGAATCTTTTTGAAAATGGTTCCCTCAGTGACGTCGAATGGCACATCTATCAGGACTGGCATTCTTTTCTCCTTCAGGAGTTTGCAAACCGGCTCTTGTTACATGGCTTCATCTATCTCCAGGCTTCTCCCCAGGTAACTCTGAACCTAAAACCTTAGATGTTAGAACTGCATGAAACAAATGGAATAGATCTTTGCATAATTTAACACACATCCTTACATTGTTAAACAAATGTAACACACCTTTACACTTTTACAGTTAAAGTAATAGTTCACAGCATAAGCAAATGTTATACATCATTGTATAAATATTCCACAGCGCTGCTTGGCAAGTGCCTTTGCCTGCTGAGCCGTCTTGCCAGCCCCATCAGGACTTCATGGTATAGTATGGGGAGTTCCTGGGTTGTGATGCAAAAGCTAGGTCACATCAGAGAGTAAGAGATTCTAGATGAAGTTTTAGGTTGAAATAAAGTTGAACTATATATTCACAAGTCCTAAGGGCTGAGGAGAATCTTCTGCGAAGTGAAGTAATTTGGCTAGTGGACGCACATTGCCTGACTGCTTTCTGTGGTCTGAGGAGGAATAAAAGATGCACATTGTGAGCCAGGTGTAGTGATGCACGCCTTTAATTCTAGCACTCGAGAGGCAGAGGCAGGCAGATCTCTGTAAGTTCCAGGCCAGCCTGGTCTACAGAGTGAGTTCCAGGACAGTCAGATCTACATAGTGAGACTGTCTCAAAACGGAAAAAAAACGAGGCACATTGTGAAGGCGGGTGGTTTTACAGGGGGAAAGAGAGGGAAAGAGAGGAGCCTTCTCCCACAGAGGATGACAGAACATGGCTGAGGTAGGGTTCTATGGGAGAGGAAGGCTCTCCAGCAGTGAGATGCTGTGGAGTAGGACAAAGCGGAGGTGTAGGTGGAGTTAGAGGAGGTGTTAGATTTCTCGTGAGAGTCATAAGGTGGCTGGTCTAAGAAGCAGGGGGTTGAAGGCTGAGGCTGGGAGAAGGGAGAGTATTGACCTAACCTATTCTGAGAGAGACGGCAACAGCATGGTCACCTCAGGGCCGGGGCAGCAGTAGAGGGGAAGCCGAGGAGACAGGGAGCTGAGAGCAGAGCAGGGCTGCTGGGGATCCATAGAGCGAGCCAGTCTCCCTCCCTCCTTCTTACGGCCCTTTAGGGGCCTGCGTGAAAGGACAGGGTAGTGGTAGGAATGGTGACTGTCCCTGGGGCTGGTTTGTCCCTTTGGAGGCTAATTGAAGTGATTGATTTGAGATTTTAGTGCTGTTTGGATGGTGTTAGATACAGGAACCCAGGAATGCTAGAGGATGAATAGGGCATGGGTTCAAGCTAGTGCCCAGCACAACACAGACTCCTGGCAAATACTGGCTTCAGAGTCTGTGAGACAGACTCCAGGCCCCTGTCCACCTGTTCTCCCTTAAATTCAAGGAAGCTGGCAATCACAACAATAATACTACTAATTGGAAGAGAAATGTCTGGACCTGTGTTCCCTACCCCGTGGAGTCAAGAGAGGGTACAGCTGGTTGTATGCCTCAGGATTCCTATCCCTGTCTGGGACAGTGAATCATGGACACAGTGCTGGGGGCTGCATGGGAACAAGTGCCACCTGAGCTTGAGATTTGAGTGGCATAGTGAGCAGACCCTTTGACAGTCACAGCCTAGTAGGTCCGGGGAAGCTGACCACAGAGTCCCTGCCTGCCACCTCTACCCACACCATCTTTCCCCTTCCCATTCTGGTGTGTGTTCCCTGTGGGGACTGAAATGAAGTGGGGCCAGCATAAAACTATTCTGTGGGACCTGTTTAAAATAATTCATTAGCTGGATGTGGTGTGCACTCCTTTAATCCCAGCACGCAGAAGGCAGAGGTATGCAGATTTCTGAGTTCGAGGCCAGCCTGGTCTACAGAGTGAGTTTGAAGACAGCCAGGGATACACAGAGAAACCCTGTCTAAAAAAATAAATAAATAAAAATAAAAATAACTAAAATAATTCATTATAACCATGTCAGTAAAGTAAGAATTACGCCAAATATTCAAAGAAGGACTTTGTCTAGACTTTAAAGGGAAGAAAAGTTTGCTCAGTTTAGCAAATTAATAATAGAAAGGGAATGCTAACTGATTTTAATAGATCCAGGCTGGTGTCAATGGTTGTCTGTAGTCAATGCGTGAATAATTATAAATAGCTTTTGCAAGAATTGTTCTGTCCTTGTGTGTATTTGAAAACATGGTTATATTGTTTTTAATATTCATTTACTTGAATTCAGACAATATTTTTCTCTCAGAGGAGAAAATAAAGTAACTTAGCTGAAGCTGCTTGCTTGTGGCAATGTAGTGTGGTTAATCTCTGAGGAGGCAATTGGGCAGCCTGTAATAGGAAGAGCTCGTGCCTTTTGTACACTTCAGAAGATGGAGTGAAGAGTGTATGTGTGCATAAACTGCTGCTGAAAGCATATCACAGTAGTTGTATGTGTGAGGTGAACTGAGTAGCGGAAGTCAGGAGTTTATTGGGAAAGAGGGACAACAGAATGCCAAGTCAGCCTGGAGTAGATCTGGAACTACCGCAGAGAAATAAAATTAAACCGGGGCAGCGGGGGGGGGGGGGGGGGGGGGGGGTTGCTAAAGAAGAGTTGTTTGCGTGGTTTCATTTCCTTAAGGGAAAGGGGGAGAGTTCTGAGTCAGTGGGTTAATCTGCCCATACTTCAGGACAGTTGACATGAATACTGACATGTTTGGAGAGTCCTGAGTCAGTGGGCTAATCTGCCCATACTTCAGGACAGCTGACATGAATACTGACATGTTTGGAGAGTCCTGAGTCAGTGGGTTAATCTGCCCATACTTCAGGACAGCTGACATGTTTGGCCAGGCAGAAAGAGGAACAGGGGCAATTCAGGCAAAACCAACATTTGGAGTAGAGTTTTGAGGTGGGAAGGAGCTTGGTCTGTCCCTTAAGAAGGAGCCAAGTCTGGCTGAAGCAGTGAGCAGGGAGGAGCTGAGGAAGTCGAGGACACGTAGGAGGGGTGGCCTTCTGCGCTGGGTGAAGGAGACACAGGTCTCAGAAGCAGAGAACCTCAGACCTGCAGGTGGAAGCAGACTAGAGTTCTACAAAAGGGGAAGGGAGAGAGGAGCTAGTGTCAAGACTCAAGTTTCCTTTCATTGGGTGTTAGCTTTGACCTGTGCAGATGTCTGCTCCAGAGTGAGTGCTTGGTCTAGTATGAAAGAGATGTTTCAAATTGCTTATCACTTTATAAGTAGAACGGCACTCACGAGCCAGGCACCTGGAAAGCTGAGGCAAGAGGATGGCAAAATCACAGCTTCTTGAAGCATGTGGTTATGTCTGTAGCTGGCAAAGAACCTATGGAGCAGAGTACTTTAAGTGGAGATACAAGTACCATAGAAGGCTGGAGTGAGGGACAGCCTGGAAGGAGAGATGGCCTTTGCTAGAATCTTAATGTACCTTACCTTAGAGCAGCCTCACTACCTCTGGGTGGGTGGGGGACGGAGAATGGGCAGCCCACTGAGACTGCAGGACCTGCACATGACAGCTGACTGACTCTAAGTAAGGTCTGTGCTCTCTCCATGCACTTACTCACACAGAAGACAGAGAGGCAGAAGGCTCTTGGAATGTCCAGATGAGAGGCATGAGCACCAAGGCAGAGGTGAGAGGACAGCCAGTAGAGAGGCTAGAATCTCCTGGCTTCTTGATGTGCTTCCCAGTGTGGCTGACTGGGAGAATGTGTTTGCCGGAGCAGTCTGAGGCACAGGTGAACAAGATGGCACCAGTGTTCTGAGTAAGAGAACAAGGCAGCAGAAGCAAGGTCATGGCTTGTGGTACCCAAAGAAGACATACAGATATTTTGTGGGTTGCTTGGCTCTGGAAGACTGCAATGTAACAGCAGGGGGATTGTCTTTTAGGTTTGTTTGGAAAGATTGTACCAGAGGGCCAGAGAGGAAGAGAAAGGCATTGAGCTGGCCTATCTTGAACAGCTACATGGTCAGCATGAAGACTGGTTTATTCACAAGACTACCAAGTGAGTATGTAACTGGCAGACAGAGGCCTCCACCACTATGCTGAGCACAAGCTGAGCACACAGCCCAGGACTGTAAGGACACAGAGGGAAGTGCCCAGCATCTGTCAGCTAGGAGATGTCCTGTCAAATACAACCCATGCGTCCCGAAGGGGCATCTGGTAGATTCTCTCCCTCCTTCCTTTCCTTCCTCTTCCCTAGTTTGTGCCTTGTGATGAATGCTTGTCATAATTGGCTCAGGATGGAGGGCTGACATGTTTTAGAAAAATGTCCATTTGAATAGACTTCTTAGTTTCTGCCTGTCCTCCTTCAGGCTTGGAGTGTTCACTTCAAATGTTTGGAATGCTGACTTCAGTAGCAGTTTCAGGACTAGAGAGTCTCAGCCTTCCACTTTGCAGGCAGTTTCATTGAATTCTTTTAAAACTACTGTCTACAGGCAGAGGCGTCAGGTTCTGATGGTAGTGTGGTGGGTAAATGATGTTACCCTGGCGTTTCTGTCTTGCTGCCCCAGGCTCCACTTCGAAGCTCTGCAGCACGTGCCAGTGCTGGTGCTGAACGTCAGTGACGACTTCTCTGAAAACACCGCCAAACAAGAAGAGCTCATGGGACAGGTGCGTAGACCTCAGCCTTTGCAGTGGTTCCCAGTGCGGTGCTCTCCTCTCCCTGCTCTGTGTCTGGCCTTTGCAGTGGTTCCCAGTGCAGTGCTCTTCTCTCCCTGCTCTGTGTCTGGCCTTTGCAGTGGTTCCCAGTGAAGTGCTCTCCTCTCCCTGCTCTCTGTGTCTGGCCTTTGCAGTGGTTCCCAGTGCGGTGCTCTCCTCTCCCTGCTCTCTGTGTCTGGCCTTTGCAGTGGTTCCCAGTGAAGTGCTCTCCTCTCCTGCTCTCTGTGTCTGACCTTTGCTTTGTACTTCACTTGCATTTCACACTCCAAAGCCCTGGGATTTTATGCAAGTTACAGTAAAATCCCAGCTCCAAGTGTGCTGGGTTAGTATCAGCCAGTTGACTCCAGCGTCTGCTGGCCAGCTGACGCCTCCCTCTAAGGTGCTCTAAAGTGAGAGACACGGAAGACGTGGGTTCTGTGCCCAGCTGCCACTTGGTGCTCTCTGACCCTGGGCAGCTCACATTTCCTCGCCTCATAAATGCTCATGAGACTGGAGATGCATACACTGCGGGGGAGTATTGAAACTGCAGTGTAACATTAGATCTTCTTTCCCTGCAGGTAAACACCTTTATAAGGAACTTGTAAGCAGTAATTAGACATCTTGGCCGTGGTCTGGTTCCAACTTTCTGAAGCTATCAAACGTTGACCTTCCATCCATCTTGCTATGCACATGCACTTGGTCCTCAAGCATCCCCACACTCAGTGTGTGCTGTCTTCAGTACTGCTGTTTTTTTTGTTTTTTGTTTTTTTTTAATCTCAAGCACTTTAAAAATAAAGCTGACTTAAGGTTGTTTTTCTAATCCACTTGTTCATTTGTTTCAGGGTATATCTATTGATGCCTGTTCTCAACTCCATAATAGATACAGTTTCCGCCTAAGAAAAGGCTTAGCCTTTCTTCACCAATTGCTCCTGTGTGATCACATACCTGATAATCCAGGGCAGGGACTGTCCCAGAGCCACCAGCCAATCAAGCCCTGCCTTTGCGTGAAGTGGGTGCCCAGTGTGTACCCCAGAATGCAGAAGCAGTGCATACCCCAAGAGCTTCTTTAGCTCTTCCTATCCACTGTTCCCAGTACTGAGGAGAAGGGATGAGGGCGTTCATCCCAGTCCTGAGCTAAAGAGTTTGCGCAGAAGGCAGGGCGAGAACAGCCTTGGACACTTAGGGTTTGGCTCTCCTGGTCTGTCTCCTGCTTACCCTCCTCCGCACCTTTGCAATGAGTGAAGCTCACAGCAGCAGACAGTCTCTTGGTGCTGCTGCTCTAAGTACCAAGTGTATTTGTCAAAGGAAGGAAAACCCATGGATGTATAGAATTGAAGTTCTCCATAGTGAGAAGCCCAGGTCAGGATTTGAGCACTTGGGCCCTCTACAGTTCTGCAGGCACACAAGATGCCACATGACCCAGGAGTTGGTGTCTTGGGAGACAGAAATCTTTACCACCCTTTATGGTTTGAGAAAGTGTTGGACTTCATACAGACAAGGCTATGAGGTTTTCAACAACACATCCAACAATTTCTTTATCCCATGTTAAGAAAACATTTGCTTTTTGTTGCTGCAATAAACCATGACCAAAAACAACCATTATCAAGGGAAGCCATGACAGGAGCTTGAAGCAGAAACAGCAGAGGGATGCTGCTGGCTGGCTGGCTGGGGGCTCATAGTCAGTTAGGTTTCTTCCACAGCCCAGACCCACAGTGAGCTGAGCCCTCCCACATCAGTCAGGAATCAAGAAAATGCTTCATTGGCATGCTCCCAGGTCAATCTGATGAAGGCAATTACTAGTTGAGATCCTTCTTTCAGAGTTTCTCTAGATATGTGTCAAGTTAACAGCTAAAGCAATGACATAAGGCATATTAATTTGTCCATTTAAATTGTGCAAGTCAGAAGGTTGTATAACCAAATTCTAGAACATTCTCATCCCCCAAGAAGAAAGCTCGCTTTCCCCCTGAGTTGTCTCCTGCCTCCAGCCCTGGGCTACCACAGATCCACATTCTTTGTGTAGAGATTGATGATGAATCTTGTCTGAATAGATTCTCCGTGTGTAGTCTTCTGTGAGTCACTTCTGTTGCTCAGCATCATGTTCAAAGGTTCATCCAGATTGTAGCATGCATCCACACTTCCTTTTTATGACTAAGCAACATTTCATTTTATGGCTGTGACACACTTTGTTTATCCATTCATGGGAATCTGCCACTTGCATTGTTGCCAGCCTCATGCCCATGGAGTGCTGCCTCATTGTGCTTGTGACAGCATGCCTTAGAGGGCTGACAATGCCAAGTATCTTCTGTGCTTCATACCATCTTAATATCTTATTTGGGAAATGTCTATTCATACCCCTTGCCCTCTTTTCAATTGAATTACTTAGCCTCTTACTGACTTATAAAAGTCCTTTTGGTATTTGGGGTATATGTTTCTTATCAGAGAAATACATGCATGACTTAAAATTATTTCTCATTCTGTTGCCTTTTTTAAAAGAGGTTTCTTTTTAATGATGTGTGACTGGAGTGGGGTAGGGGTGTACATTAGTACAGGTATCTATGGAGGCCAACAGAGGGCGTCAGATCCTCTGGAACTGGAGTTAGAGGTGGTTGTAAGCCGCCTGACCTGGTGCTGGAACCCAGACTCCAGTCCTCTGTAAGAGAAGCAAGGGAGCTAAGCTGCTAAGGCATCTTTCAGCTCCTCTACCCACCCCCTGCTTTTTGAGACAAGTTCTCATGGGGCCCAGGCTGACCTTGAACTTTTGATCCCTTTGCCTTAAGCCTCCTGAGTACTGGCATTACATTTTGGTAGTGTCTATTGAAGCAAGCAAACCTGTGTTTTGATGAAACCCACTTGTTTCTTTTTGTCGTTTATGCTTTTGTGGCTCTATCTAAAAGGCCAAGTAACGTAGGTTCACAGACATTGACTCCTGTGTCTTTATTGTCTTCCTGTTTTAGCTTCTCTCCAGACCTGTGATCCATTCTGAGTGAGTTTGCATCTAAGGATAGGGCCCATCTTTGTTTGTTGTTGTTGTTTTGTTTTGTTTTTGTACATGAGCCTGTGGTTGTCCCAACACCATCTAATGAAGTCTCCTCCTGCTCTATTGACTTGTCTTAGCACCCTTGTTGAAAAACTGCCCTTGATCTTGGTTTGGGTTGCTGCTTCAGGCTTTGGAAAGCCCACAGATGAAAACTCAACATTTCATTCATTCAACTTGAAGAACCCAACTACTGAATCCCCACTTCTATTTCCAGGAGCCACTGCAGTGCAAATGAGTTGTAGACTAGAGTGGGCACACTGGCTCCTCACCTGTCATCAGAGATCCCCGAGTGTCAGCCATCTGGAAGGTACTCAGGAGAACAGTGGAGGGACAAAGCAGACAGTGTCATCTGATGGAGGCAAACACAAAAGTGCCCATGAGGTCAGCATTTCAGAAGAGCTACAGTTGTGTTGTGAGGACCTGTGAAGGTTGGAAAGAGCCAGAGTGACCTGGACAGCCTCTCTGAGAAATGGACTGTTCTGAAGAGAGAATGGGGTGGCTGTTGGGGTGCCATGCCCCTCACTCGAAGAGGAAGCTAAGGCCAGATGCAGAAAGTAAATTTATAGTTTTAAGAACGCACTCCTGAGCTGGGCATGCTCAAACACACCTTTAATCCTAATACTTGGGAGACAGAAGCAGGTGGCTCTCTTGAGTTCAAGGCATGCCTGGGCTACCTAGTGAGAACCTGTCTCGGGAAAAAACCCAGCAACCCTCCTGGGGTGGAAGGGATAGCTCAGCACTTAAAGTACTTCCTGCTCTTCCAAAGACCTGAGCTCTACTTCCCACATCTGGCAGCTCACAGCTGCCTGTAACTCTAGCTCCAGGGGATCTGACACCCTCTATTGACCTCTGTGGTCACCAGGCATGCATGTGGTGAACAGATGTACACACAAGCAAAACACTCATACATATAAAAAAAATTTTTTTAAATAAAAAATCCAATCCTCAGCCAAGATTGGTGGTTCATACCTTTAATCCCAGCACTTGGGAGACAGAGAGGGTAGTTTGGTGTACATGGTGGGATCCAGGCTAGATAGGAATACACAGACCTCATCTCAAAAACAAACACCAATAAAACAGTCTTCTCTCTGACTTTTTCAGTCTTAAGTCTTGGTGTAATAATAATTCAACATTTCTTTCCATTTGCAAGTGTTGCCTTTTAGACTATGTAAATATCAAGCAGAGTGTGGTGGCACATATCTGTAATCCCAGCACCTGAGAGGTGGAGACTGAAAGTCAAACCTTGAGTCTAGCCTGGGCTTCATGAAACATGTTCTAAAATAAAATCATATATATTAAATTATATATATATTAAGATATATACAAATCATTAAAATCATATATATATATGAGAGCTACCAACAGTCTAACCTACGTAAAATAATTAGACATTTTTTCCAAATTGGTAACTGAGCACATCTGTGGAACTAGATGCTTTAATGAGGATCAATAATTATGAACCTTCATTACTACAGGCGGTCAGGAGCCGGTAGAGACAGGGATTGGGAAGTAGGACATGGTAGCACACACCTGTAATCCCAGCACTTGGCAGATGGAGGCAGGAGGATCAGGAGTTGAGGCCATCCTCTACTATACAGTGAACTTGAAGCCAGCCTAGAGTACAACATGTACATGAGACCTTGTCTCAATCCCAAAACAGCAATAATAATGGGGTGGGGTGGGGGCTCTGTGGAGGGTAAGTCACACTGAGACTGAGCATCTCTTAAGTGGTTTGCCTAAAATGGTCCCTGCCCAGCACTGGGGTAGCCTGGTAGCTCTTCTCACCCCAGGTTTGGACCAGCTCTCAGAGGGAAGAGAGTAGCACATAAAAATAGTGGTGCTGCTTTGCAGATTGTGATGTGAAGCACACCACTCTGGAACTGTTTCTAATGTGGATCAAGGTCGTGAAAATTCTCAGACATTGGAAGGGGAAAGGGGGGAGCTTCGGGTGAGGGAAGCTGTGCTATGAAAATGCCATGATCCCTGAGAAAACATCAGGAAATAACTTGCAGTGTCGAGTAAGGACTACCTCACCCTTCTCTGGCTCACTTTCTTCTTGGACCTTTTTTTTTTTTTTTTTTTTTTTTTTTTTTTTGGTTTTTCGAGACAGGGTTTCTCTGTGTAGCTTTGCGCCTTTCCTGGAACTCACTTGGTAGTCCAGGCTGGCCTCGAACTCACAGAGATCCGCCTGGCTCTGCCTCCCAAGTGCTGGGATTAAAGGCGTGCGCCACCACCGCCCGGCTTCTTCTTGGACCTTTATCCTCTCCACCACTTAGTGCTCCCCACTCTCTGCCTACTGGCCTGGCTCCCTTTCCTCTCCTCAGTTGAAGTATTTGTTGTATCCCTGGGTCTATCTATGTCTCACTTGTCTTTCTTCTGAGTCATCATGTATTTATTTTCTGATGTTGCCATAAACTCACATAGACATGTACACATGGGTTTTTAAAAAATACATACTTATTTTAAAGTAATGCCTCCTACAAAATTTTGATCACCCAGCTCCTCACCTATGAAGAAGCCTCTGCTGTGGTTTAGTGACTGTACTTTTGTCCTGTCAACCAAATTTGTTCTCTCCTCGTTTCTGCATGTGCCTTGGCCTCTAAAGAATTGCCCGGAGTCTTTGACTGCAAACAGAAGCCAGTTATTATGAGCTTTAAGTTTCGGGGCCCAGTGCTTGCAAGGACCCAGTATGTCTGTTGAGAGAATGCTCTCCCTGCATCTAGTGAGACTTTAGGAGAAACACTCCAACCAAGAGAGTCTGTCCCACCAAAACAGGAAGGGGA